AAAAAAGAAAAAATTATTTTTTTACTTGCACGTTTTTTAAAAAAATTAAAGTTATACCATTTAATATTTAGAATGTGAAACAGTGCATCACACTCAAAATCATTGTAGTCAAGTAGGAACTTGCATCTGACCCTCCAGTGGATTGTCAAAGGCTGTAAATTACAAGGGAAGAAGGAAGAGATTGCTCAGCCTAACAAGCCAGAGCCACTGGCCAACTGGTACCGCCAGCAGTACTCAGCCTTTGGACTAGCAGCATAGCACTCTAGGGACTTCTCCACCACAGGTCCCGTGTTTATAGTGTAATATAGCATCTGTTGGAAATCTCTTTAAAGAAGAATCTAAAGGCCAAAATAAAAGTTGTTCATAATGTTTCTGCCTATTTTATAAAAATGGAAGTAATACAGTTTAAGGTTTAAAAAAATGAAATAGTAAATGAAAAGTTACGATCTCCACCTCATGCCAACTTTACGTCCCAAGCAAAGTAACTATTTTCTTCTCTTTTAAAAAATAAAAAAATTATTAATTTTAATGAACATTTATAGAGATTTTGGATTTCCATTCATTCATTGGTGCACTTTTTCTCTACCCACCCCCAACTGTATACTTTTAAAATATACTCATAATAGAGTTCATTCTCTTCATGATGCTTTTTTTACTTGACATACCTTTAAGAATTCTTCTGTACTAGTAAAATCAAACATTCTTTTTTTCAGTAGATGAACTGCTCTGTTAGTTGAATGTTAAATGAGGCAAACCATCAAGGCTAACTTTGCACAACATGCATGACCTTTCAAAAAGTGAGAGTTATTAAAAGACTCTCTGGAGAGAAAAATCACAAGTTTGTTCTTAAAAAGTTTTTAATAATTTTGTAAGTAAAATTACTTTATTATGCTTTCTTCTGAAAACTCAAATCCCCCTGTAAAACCATTTGAGACTATTGAGATCATCAGGAATATGTTGAGATTAATATTTTTAAAAATTTAGTTAACTCTAGAGTCTTAGTTCTGGTGTATGTTGGTGAATTGTGCATGTTTACTGTTTCCCGTATATATTGTAAAGTAGATTGCTTGTAATTTTTTCTTTGAATTTGCTTTGCAGTGTGTGTTATATTTATGGAGTTTAAAGATTAATCATCCCAAAACATTGTTTCTGCTTCGAGGAAATCATGAATGCAGACATCTTACAGAGTACTTCACTTTCAAACAGGAATGTAAGTATGAGCACTTCTTCAGAACTCTTTTTGTTACTTTCTAGACTGGCCCAAAGTGGATCAAATATAAAGAAAAACCAACTGATGGAACAAAAATGTTTTCTGTCTTTTCTTTCTATATTGTATATGAGGAGGAGGGAAGAGGAATTAAGAATACAAAATTCTATGTATATTAGGACATTTATTTTGAAGATAATTTTGGTTCATCTTTCCTTGAAAAATAATAAATTGAGAGTATTTGGAAAGTAGAAGCCCAAAGAAGATTAAAAATTGTTTATAATTATACTCTCTAAGAATTATCACTATTTGGGATGTTGTCTTCTATTCTTTTTCTTTTTAATTTTTTATTGTGCTTTGAGTGAAAATTTACACAGCAAATTGGTTTTCCATTCAGAAATTCTCAGCCATTTTGCTTTATAACATTAATTACTGCATTTGCGTTATAATAAAACTCTTCCCAGTGTATTTCCTTTCCAATCATCCTTCTGTCCTATTCTGTCCTGCTCTCTGAGCTTTATCCCTGGACAGATAGTGTCATCTTATGTGGCTGGTTTTAAGGAATGAGTATCTCGCTGAGTGTCTTCACCTTATGAGCATATCTGTTGTTGGTTGATACATAAGGGTGTTTAGTTCCAGACTCAGAGGGTTATTTAGAGCTGTAATCTTGAGAATTCCACTAATCTCTGTTAAACCAGTTTAAAGACTTAGGTATGCCTGGTCACTTTTATGATTTTTAATTTTGTTCCACATTTTCTTCCCCCTTTGCCTGGGACCATCCTCTGCAATTATCCCTTTTAAAAAGTCAACAGCAGTGTGGCGATTTTATGGGTTGTCCACTTGACTGAGACTCATAGCAACCTCATGAACAACACATCAGAAAATCTGCCGTAACCTATGCCATCTCCAACATACTCCTTTGCTCCATTCAGTGTCAGTCCATCCCCTTCGGGGTCTCCCTCTCTTACACTGATTCTCCACCTTTCCAAGCATGATGTCCTTCTCCAAGGACTGGCCCTTCCTAACAACATGCCCACACAGTAGGAGACATAAATTTCACCATCCTTATTTCCACAGAACACTCAGGTTTAACTTCCTCTAAGATAGACCTATTTATTCTCTCTGCAATCCATGCAGCATTCAGTACTCTTTTCCAACACCGGATTACAAAGATACTGATTATTTTTTGTTATCCCTATTCATTGTCCAACTTTCAGATACATAGCAAATCATTGAAAAGATTATCACTTGGGTCAAGTGTATCTCAGTCTTTAAGCTGACATCATTGCTCTTTAGTACTCTAGAAAAGCCCCTTACATTAGATTTGCCCAGAGAGTCTTGTTTTTTGATTTCTTTCCAGACACAGTTGAGTTCTTCCAGTCTATCTTGATGGCATACAGCAGTCTCAGCTTAGGGCTTAAGTTAGGTGAGCCCTTTGGACTAATTGTTTCTATGCATCATTGATTTTCTTCACTCTTCTTTGTTACATACAGAAAGAAACCAGTTGTTACCCTTAAATGTCCCTTTGCAACTTTTTAGACCCATGTGGTTGTTCATCAAAGTAGAATATAAAACTCCTTTTTTTACAGAATTTAATATATAGACCTTTTTTAAAATTTTTATTTTATACTGGTTTATGTACAAAAATCATGCATACATTATATTTTCTTTATATACATTGTGTTTCATACATTCCTCCATTCACACCGTGTTGCACATTATCATTTCCATACATTGTGTTTTATAAAATTAATCACGGGGAGGGGAAGGGCTGGGCAGGGAGAAAAGTGCAACAGTGAATGAATGGAAATCCAAAATCTCTGTAAATGTTCATTAAAATTAATAAAATAAAATTTTTTTTAAAATTAATCACCATTGATCCATGCCTATTATTACCCCACATTTTTAGGTTCCCACTGCATCTTTTGTAATTCTTTAACACTCTCGCTCTGCCCACCAAACTCTGTCACATTGAGATTCCCCCCAGCCTCAGCACCCCTCCTCTCTCTATATCTCTCTTTGGGCTTTGGTACACATTGTAACTAGGAATCCTTCTATTTTTACAATAATGGTCTTATATAGTATTTGTCCTTATGAGACTAAGTGAGTTTACTCAACATAATGTTCTTTAGCCTCTCTTATGTTACATAGTGTTTTTCAAAGTTATTGCTCCAGTTCCTCAATCCATTCATTTGTTGATGGGCATTTGGACTATTTCCATTTTCTTGCCATTGTGAATAACGCTGCTGTGAACATCAGTGTTCAGATCTCCATTTGTGTCTCAGTTCTATTTATATGTACCTATTAGGAAATGCCATTTTTTAAACTGACAGTACTCTGTACCATTGTAGCCATTTTTTTAAAATATTTTTTTATTGGGAAAAAACATATTGGGGGTACAAGGAGGTGAGGGTTGGGGGCAGAAGGGTGAGGATGGGCCAGGATGCAGTTGCAGAGCTGCACAGTTTGGTCGGTGGGG